CCACCCCCGCTGCTGCTCCAGGTCCTGGGATCCCTGGAGCTGAACCAGCCCAGAGCAGCCACCCCGCATACTCTGCATGCCACTGAAGCCACTGCACGCCTGCCTGTCTCCAGCAGTCTGCTCCGCGCTGTAAGCCTGTCAGAGGCATGAGGCCCGGCTGGGCTGCGCCTACTGGTTAAAGTGTCACCAGTGTCTCCCCTGTCACTGGAAGCCCATGCACTGAGGGCAGAGTCCAGGAACCACCACGGGAGTGCCCTGTGGCTCCCAAGCTACAGGTTCTCCTCTGCCCTGCTCACAGGGGCTGGGAGGAGAGGCCCAGACCAGAGTCCATACTGCGTCCATACAGGGGAGCCCCCGGTGGACACGACGCCCCAGCCCTCCTGGCCAGCAGCAGACATGCATCTTCTGCACCCTTCACCCCGCTGCTGAATTGCACCCTCATCTCCCCCTCTCCTCCCCGGCTTCTGTTGACCTTTCTTACCTCCCGGAGCCCCAATCAGGAAGGACTTTGCCAAGTCCCTAGAGATCCATGACAAAAGCTGAGGGGGTTCTGTCTTCTCGTTCTCCTGGGTCGACATGCTTCTCCTCCTCCTGGGGCTGCCGGCTTGGGGAGAGAGGGGCGAGGGAGACGAAACTGCTAGTCTTATCGACGGGGGACAGAGAGAAGAAAAGGGACACACCCAGCAGGCCGCCCCGTCCCCACACAGAGCCCCTCCCCGTGCCCTGCTGCCTCCCCCCCGCTTGCCGACACTCTCCTCTCTCGTCCATTTTTCCTGATAATTTTTTAATCCATTCACACTGTTTGGTCATCACCCTGAACAGAGATTTTTCGCCAGTGATGTGGCCCCTTCTTCGCACCCACTGAAGTCAGCCGGGGATGACTCTGGGAAGCGGGGTATGGGGGCGTGGTGGAGCCTGGGGAAGCGTGGGGGGCACTGCGATGGGGGCTCCAGGAGCAGCGCCATCATCCCAGCGCTGGCTGTCACCCGCTCACTGACCACGCTCTGTGCCAGGCCCTGAGGGCACGGAGGTGGGCCACTCAGGCAGGGCCTCTGTCCTTCCTGTCGTAAGTGGAATTTACAACGTGGTGGGCAGCAAACAGATAGTGATCTCGGTGGGAGGTGATGGACCAGGATAGTGGCAGTGAGGATGGAGAGGGGGACAGGTCTGAGATGTGCTCTGATGAGCAGACAGGGTAGAAAGACAGAGAGATGCGGGGACCGGGGGATGGGGCTTCGCCTCCTGCAGGTGGCGCTGAGGAGCCCGGCTTGGGCAGCTGGGCACTCGGTGGTGCCACTCACGGAGATGAGGGAGGGAATAGGGTTGCCCCAGTTTGACACGGGCAAAGTGTGAGATGCCAATCAACTGTTCACAGCGACAGGCGGACCGCTGGCTCTGATCCCCGACGCCTCCCACACATCCTCTCCCTTTGTCACCCAGAAGGAAGGGGGTTGACAGCCTGTTCTTCAGGGAAGGGGACTGAGGTGGGCAGGGCGAGCGGGCCTCTTCTGTGGCCCCGTGGCCCTTTCTCCACCCTTCTCCACTCTGCCGAGAGGCCAGGAGGCTGAGGGCCTTGCCCCGTGGCTCTGGGGTTCGGCCGGTGGGAAGGGCACCAAGGGCTGAGACAGGAGAGGGTGGCTTGGCATTTTAAGCCCTCTGTTACTGTGCTGAGGGTGACGCCCTATTCCCTGAGTTTCACTCACACGCTGCCCACACTCTGTACACAGTCCTGTTACGAAACACTCCTCAGATGATCTAGTTGGAGGAGCCCTTGCTTTCCTGATGACCATGCCCGATCCACTTATCTGGGGCCGAGGATCCCGCCAGTGGTGAAGCAGGGATTCGGGCCCGGGGAGTTGTGGCCCCAGAGCCTGAGCTGTAAGCTCTGGCTCTTTCCTGTCAGGCTGGTCCCTGGAAGAGATGAGAGAAGCCTCAGATTCTGGGTGGAGGAGAAAACAGACAGTGAGAAGGACTTCCCAGTGGGGGACGAGCTTGAGGTTCTAGGCACGGTATACAGAAGGCAGAACAAATAAAGATGGACGACAGTTCTAGCCAGAGGGAACGCGACAGACTTCGGGGACCGGGGGACTCAAGCCTCAGGGCTTGGGGGCGGGAAGGGAACATGAAATGTTTAAGGCCGGCCTGGCCGTTTTGAACTGATTCCACAATCAGTCGGGAGGGCGAGTATCCCAGAGGTTCAAGTCCCGAGTGGACGACAGGAAGTGGGGTCAGTTGCCCCAACCAGCCCCTGTCTTCTCCAGCCGGGGTGACAGAAGCTTTGACCTGAGAGCAGTCTGGCTGACCCTGCGTCCACAAGCGACCATGTGAAGGAGTGTGCACTTTGTCACAGGGCCAGGCAGTGGGAGGCCCGTGGGTGAGAGACTCAGAGAGCGATGACAGATTGTAGCTCCTCGGGCGAGGTCGCCCCCCGGCCCCGCAAACATGCACACTCCCACGCCCTCAGACACACACAGAGCCACGCACGTGACGTCAAACACGCACGGACACGGACACCAGCACGGAGCGGGCCTGCGCCACGTGCCCTGCCTTGCTGGACCTGTGGTCAGCAAGGCCGGGTCCCTGCCCAGACTGGGGAGGGACAGGAAAGCTAGCCCTGGTTCCCTTCAAAGTGCAATCAACTATGGTGGACAGGTGACAAAGCGGTGCCAGGACACAGAGGGGCCCCAGGGGAACGTGGGCCTTGGGGAGGGGGCGGGCAGGGGGGCTTCACAGAGGAGGTGACACAGAGTCCCAGCGCTGGGACACACACACGTGCTCACAGACACCCTGTTCCCCCCAGGCACACCCGGCACACTGACCCTGACACACACGGCCCACGTGCCACCAGCACACAACAGACAATTGCACAGACACACCGACCGTCACACTTCTTCTCAGCGGCACGCGCACGCACGCCCGTGCTCTCACACACGCACTTAAGGTCCAGGCTCGTCCTCCAGCCAAGGCCTCTGGACTCTGCGAAGCAGCGAGCGCCGCGCGCCTCCCCGCGAGGGGCGCC